GATTTATGCACCAATTTACCAGCTCGCGCGTGCAATGCGCAGCTACCCCCCCCCCAATCATCGGTGAAGGAAACTGTGGCAGCTACAACCAGTGTACGACCAGTACGCGGTTCTTACAGCTGACAATGATGATGAGAATGATGAGGCGAACTCACTGTCTATCATAGCTAGGTGCTGGTTCCTCATAGTTCCCGTTACACAGCTAAACAAGCATATATACAGGTGACGCTGACAATGATGATGATGATGATGAGGCGAACTCACTGTCTATCATAGCTAGGTGCTGGTTCCTCATAGTTCCCGTTACACAGCTAAACAAGCATATAATACAGGTGACATGACGTGAACTACCGAGGAGGTGATTCATCACAATTGCTTACCACAGTCGTATTGTATGAGCCGAGGATCTGGAAATTGTATTCGGCAAGCGGTTGCAATGCGATGCAGTTGAACTGGCCGTAGCCACGCTAACGCACTGGGCGGGATAGAGTCGATCCGGGGGTTTCGAGTCGCCCGCGGTGGATTTTTGATTTGGGATACAGCTTTGCAAACACTAGGAAGACACTCTTCTATGAGTAGTTCTTGCAGTCGGTCAGCCTCACGAAGCAGTTGGCCTTGGTACTTTGGGCAAGATGAATAAGGCGCGAATCCGGATGAGATCACAGCAGGAACAGCGAACGCGAAGCTAGTGGAATTAAACACGTAAATCAGTCAGGGCACAGTCTCAATTTGTTCCTGTATTGATGGCCGACAGATATTGCAAGCTAACCATCATAACCATTACGGACTGGATGATGAGTTGAGTCTGGGATTTGGTTGGGACCAATGAACAGAAGCTTGAATACAGGATAATATGGTGCATCTGGGCATTTTACTGTATGGTTACTGTGTAGTGGTTAGGCCGAATCGATAGCGTACACGTCGCAGTCACAAGTAACCAGGTGGTGTTTTGATTATATACACTAGAGTATGCCGCAGAGCTACGAAAAAGAGGGTTTAAAGGCACTAGTGAAACATGAACCCCTCCGCTTCCAAGGGGAGAGATGCCATCGGGTGAATTTCAAACGGCAATAGTCACTTGCCATCTCAAGAGATAGAAAGTTTTTCGCTTGTGTGTTGTTTGCATCCACATCACTCTCGCTGTCCAACAGAGAAATTCATTGTGACGACGACGGTTGTCTTAGACCAGGTTCCGTTACCGAACTTCTTTTTACCATGCAGGGGAAGTTTGTTATTTTAAAAGATTTATGGACTAACCTACGATTTCGCTTAGTGACGGCGTAAATTGGGCTAGTTTGTTGTTGATGGCTAGCATTATCTCTGTGCGAGAGTGAGGCAACAACTGTTTCCGCTAGTCAATAATGATATCGCGAATTTCCGAAAGTGAAACTAACTCATCAACATCAACCTTCTACTCTTCCTTCGGTCTAAAGCAGCCACCTTGACGGGGTAGTCGGGCATGAGTGCTGCAATGATCAAGCGGGATTTACTGGCGAAAACATCGCTCCCAAAGGTGCAAACATGCCAGGAATGCCAAAGGAAAGCAAGCAGATCAAGGTACCGGATATGCGCGGCCACCTCACGGGTGAGACAGTAATGCTTTATTCACTGCGTCACCGGGTTAGGCCGGCGCCCTTT